GCCCTAAGATAGCTGAGCAATAATTTGTCTTTTTGCTCCTGCATACAGAATATTTTTCATGTAGCATAATGTGTTAGCATAAAACTGTCATCATTTGCACTTCTTCATATTGTCTCAAACCCATATTGGTTTTTTTTCTCTTCTTCCATTGAACACAAAATATGATGTTAGACAGAATGTTCAAAATTTCCATATAATGAAACTGAATGATTACTAGGGCTTGTGATGCACAATATATATTTGTACTATATTGGTTATCACAGTTTGTTTGTGTATTTATCAAGATTGGATTTTTAATTGTGATTAAATTAACAGTTATTGGCCATAACTTGAACATAATTATAATTCATTCGTAGCAGACTGAATTTTAAAGGGGTCATGAACTGAGAAATCAAAATTCCCTTGATCTTTTGACAAATAAGAGGTCATTGTGGGATAAAACCATTCTGTAAGTTTCAGAACTCAACTTTCTCGTTAGTATAAAAACAGCTTATACTGAAGCAGATCTGCCAAAATGACAGGTTGTGGATTGTGCCACTTTATGACGTAATAGTGTGGCTAAACATCACCTCAGCAGAAGAAGATCCACGCCTGCTTGTACATCACTTCCTGTTTAGCCACACCCACTGATTCGTGCACGTAGTAGGTAAATGACAAGAGCAGCAAACACAGGTCTACACAGAAACCAAACGATAAACTTTATTTTTAATGAAGTGCCAGACCGCGTCAATAAGAACTTGGTCCTTTGTTCAGTTCATTTTACTGTGGATTCGTTTAAAAACAAGGCACAATTTGTTGCAGGATTTAGAAAGATTGAAACTAAAAGACGATGATGTGCCGGCTATATTGGATCCGATGTTGACTCGCACCACACAAGTGCGAGTAACTGTTTTTATTACGTGATCACTATTGCTTTGTCTGTTAAACAGATCGTTTGATATGAGTAATTATGCGTTTTTAACCGAAATCACTGCAGCGTCTATCTGTGAGGGATGTAGGTTGTCAAACATACACAACTGTTAGCCAATCATAGCAGTGGGTGTTTACTTCCAAGTCTACAATCCGCCACGCCTATTCAAACAGAGCGTTCTGATGAGGGGGGTTAAAAACAGGACAGAAAATACTTCAATATATATATATTTTTAAAAAAATCTTGATAACATTATAAGTGGACCTCAGAGAACGGTACAAAATAAAAAAAATAGAGGCAGTTCATGACCCCTTTAACACTGTTCAACCCTGAAAGGCGTTATCAAAATCTAAAAATCATATAGTTTTGTGTGAGGAATAGACTGCAATTTAACTTCTCCAACGTATCTGTCACATCTAATTTCCTATTCAAACATAACATCAGTAGCTGGGTTTCCATCCAAATGTGAAGCAAATCTTTTCAAAGTTTCAAAGCATTGTCATTTTGGGGTGAATTATCTCTTATTTGTGTTCCATTGTTGTTCAAAAGAAAAGAGGAGTCATAGCGGGTTGCTAGAGAGTGCGAGTACTCCAGTACATGAAAACCGGTTTATGAATGACAGTAAGCCTGTTCCTCATGGCCTCTTACGACCAGAGGTCGACTTCCTGAAGGAGAAATCTTATGGTTTGTGCCAAGCTCTCAGCATTGACATGCTGTTGTGCTTTTCTTGCCAGATGTCATGTGCTCATGCGGTTGTGTTGAATGAAGCTTTGAAAATATTGATCATATATCAAACAAATCAATCATTGTGTGGTCCATATGTTCCCTCGTATACATATTCCATAGCAGAAATGTGCTCCATTTGTAATTGATTGAGAATGCTTTTCAAATTCCAGTTACATTTCTGAATTTGAACTGGATGCAGAATTGCAATTTGAACAGAATTTTAGTGTAGTGAGTAGAATTCAAAAAGAAATTCATATACAGTATAAGAGCAAAAAGCTATTTTTAACCAAGGAGGGAAAGTTTGTCAAGAAATGAGTTAGGCTCTATACGTTACATGTCTTCTACAGTTTGTTGAGTCTGAAAAACATTTTCTAAAAAAATAAATATATGTATATATATATATATATACTAGCTCTGCAATGCACATGTGCATCTTCACGTATTGCGTAATCATGTTGGAAAAGTCACATGCGGTTAGTTCTTTGTGTACTTCGGTTAAAAAAGGTATAGGGCGAAAAACATTTTCTCCTCCAACTTCAGAATCGTCTGACATCATTATTTTACCTTTTTTTGTAAATGACTTTTGACTTTCTTTGCACGTTCGAACTTCCTACATCACGTGTGCGTGATTACGTAATGCGTTAGGTCGAGCTAGTGCAAGACGAGCATTTGTGGTTAAAAAGTATATACATTTGTATTTTTTTTTGAACGTTTTGCTAGATAAGACTCTTATTCCTCGGCTGGGATCGCTTAGAGCCCTTTGAAGCTGCATTGAAACTGCAGTTTGGACCTTCAGCCCATTGGCCACCATTGAAATCCACTATATGGGGAAAAATCCTTTTCCTCAAAAACCTTAATTTCTTTTCGACTGAAGAAAGAAAGACACAAACATCTTGGATGACATGGGGGTGAGAAAATTATCAGGGAATTTTCATTCTGGAAGCGAACTACTCCTTTAATAATTTTTAGACCAGGTTGGAAGAACACTTAATTTTCACTTCCAGTAATTTCAATTGAACTTCCTTTAGGGTGTGGCCAATTTACATTTACACTCATGATTTGTAAGGGAGCCTCTTCTTTATTTCTGAATTCAGTTCTGTTCCAGTCTAAAAACTGCAGTAGAATGTCTTCTGTATCTTCCCAAGTTAATTTAATTGTCTAGTGATGTTCCAGGTATTATTCATCTGTCTTAAACTGAAGTGAAACCAACTGAAACAGCAATATGTGGAGAGCCTGCAACAGGATAATGACCCAAAACAGTTAAGCAAATCCACAGATGGTTGGCTAAGAGATAAATGGTTAAGAAAAGGGTCAAGTGAGTAAGAAAGCCCTCAAAACTGCATTGTTATAGCAATTCGAAGCAAAAATTCTCCAGGTCAATGCAGGAGACCAATAAACAATTAGACAAAGAGCCTACAAGTGATTTCCTGCCAATAATGGCTAAAACCAGCTAATAGTTTGCTATTTTTTTTACGTTTTTATTGAGCAAATTAGTTTCACGGTGGTTTTGTTGGTGACTCAGCTCATGTTGTTGTGTGTGTGATATGATTTCAGCTGTCGATCACTGGTCACCATGTACAATCTTTTATTCATTCAGCCCTCAGGTGAAAGTAGGAACATACTCAAAACACCAATCACTATCTCCCAGAGCGCAACCGTGGAAATAAAGTGATTAGCACATTTGGTCAGGCCAGTGACATGTTAAAAGCTCAATGGTGATGTTTGGATGTGGGAGGCAGCACCCACGATTCTCCTCCGTTTAAAGTCCAGCTTTAAAATGAAATCTAATTTAGTAACACTGTTTTTCCATCTATTAATCTTCATTCTTAATAGTGCATCTCAAAAGTACTGCTCTTGTATTTTGCCTTGTTAACAAATAGCTAAACCGCATCTGTCGCATCCGGGAATGTCTGGTAATCAATCATGCAGAGGTATGTGAAATATAAACCGGTTTTAGTTGTTGCATTATCCGTCTGCCTTTTATTCAAAGTCTTGTTTTGGATATGCTACCTACACATGGCAAGCTTGCTGAGTCTAAACATAACAACCGATTCACAGTATGCCGTTCCCAGTAATTTACATGTAGAAATATGCAGAATAATATTGTAATATGCTAATCCTCATGCTCAGCATATTTGCTATAATGGAGAGCCTGTAAACAGGATCCAGACATTACAATATTAGCAAAAGTCAGAATATGAATGCATATGCACAAACTCCATCTGGGCTCTGTGAACAGTTCTGAAAGCTATTTTTATTTTCTATTGGACTGCAAACAAAATTTGACGTCAATCGAATTGCATCTATTTAAAAAAAAGAGACCCTGCAACAAGTAAATATGAATATAAAGTATTATGTCTTTAAGTCCCAACCTCCTCTTGGGACATTGATTGGATATTGATTTAATTCAGTTGAGAAGGATCTCTATCCCTGGCCGTTCACCCATTGTTATGATAATTTATCTCCCTTGAGCATCATAGCAGCCGTAATCTCATGTCACTTAAGGCTGGATTTGCAAGTGATCCTTGAACTATTAACCCCCCAAAAAACAACGCACACTGATCGAACCTCAGTCCATAAATCAAGTTGGTCTCTAATGACGGACACATCTGTTTCCACTCAGAAAGATACAGAATCTTCTCCAATCTCTTGTCAAACTCCAGCTACATTAATATGCAGGTTTAGTGGGGGAAATGAGCATGTGCTTCTCTGCAAAAACCAACCTCCTCGGATACAATCACATGGTGCTGATGGTTGCTTCTCTGCAACTACCTGTAGCTGAAATACAGCATTGCACATTGAGAGCTTTTCCTATCATACGAAACCCAGAGTCGATGCACCCCCAGCCCCGCTAGCACCCTCCCCCCATGTTTCTCGCACACACACACACAGAGGCTGTGGTGAAGCAGACGCTCAGCAGGGGGATGGATCCTGACTACTAAAGAGCAACGGAGAGAGAGGAGGGGTGGCAGGCAGGCAGCCGGCAGAGGTGCATAAATCCTCATTTCCAGATCTGGAGGAATAAACGTTCGCTGTCCGGGGTGAGACCACCACGTTGGCTTTCCAAAACATCAGGAGGCAGCGCTTGCCACGGCTCGCCGTGAATCCAGGAGAGACGAGGAACCCGGCTGAGGCTGTCAAACGCAGAGGTGGGCTAGGAGGAGGTCTATGACCCTTGATTTTCAGCTGGGGAGTGGCGCAGGGGGACGTAGCTGGCGACGATCAACAGACGCTCGGCACTTGTAATCTTCCCATTCACTAATTTATTCCATGCCATTGTCATAGCGATGTAAAGCCATTCTGTGTCGACTGGAGGAGGCATACTCCAATCAGCTGCTCCCGCCAAGGCGAGATCTTTCATTTCCATCAGCGTGTTTTGGTTTCCCTTCACTTCTTTGTGCTTTGTCCCTCAGAAACCGGACGGCGTCACTCCTGTCTTTTCATGTGACTTGGTCGTTCTGGAGCTGTCATTGTGTTTGGTTCTGCATGGAATGACAGCTGCTTTTTTAGAGACGGTGGAAGAGGTCGCGGATGGAGTGAGGACTGCCACTAACTGGAAAGCTCCTTGAGAAATCGTAAAGAACCTCTTCAAAGACTTGCTGCTTTTTCAAGCGTTTAGACTTGCCTCGTTGCACACTTTCTACCATTTGTCTCACTGGATACCAATGACAGCCATGAAGGGAGACTCCGAAGACAGCATTGAAAGTGTGAGGCCGTCCAGCCTGCAAGTTTTCGCCAACTCCTCCACACTACATGGCATGAGCCACATATTCGCCTATGGCCACATGACGTTCCGTCGCTTCTTATGGACGCTGTCCTTCATGGGCTCTTTGGGTCTCCTGATGTTTGTGTGCATGGACAGAGTGTACTACTACTTCGAGTTCCCCCACGTCACCAAACTTGACGAGGTGGCGGCGCCCAACCTCACCTTTCCGGCTGTCACCTTCTGCAACCTCAATGAGTTTCGTTTCTCGAAGATCTCGAAGAACGATCTGTACCACGTCGGGGAGCTGCTGGCACTGCTCAACGAGAACCACCAGATCGCTAACCCTCACCTGGCCGAGCCGGAAGTCCTGGCTTTGTTGAAGGAGAAGGCTAATTTTGTCAACTTCAAGGCCAAGCAGTTCAACATGACGGATTTCTACAACCGCACGGGCCATGATATTAATGACATGCTCTTGCAGTGCACCTTCAGAGGGGAGGAATGCATCCCACTAAACTTCACCACTGTAAGTTACCATGGTGGTATATTCTTCTAAGTTTTCAGTTGAAAGTTGTGGCAAACTGAAGTTCAAGCACTGTTGGTTTATTTGGAAAATATTGCTCGACATGAGCTATACAGGGCCATTGACTGAGACGGTGTGTATTGAATTACGCAAACTAGTTTTTCCCCCCTTCAGACTACTCCTTTGTTGACAAGACTTCTCAGTTTTTTGCTGGTGCAGTCAGTGTAGTTTTTTTCCCCCCTTGAAACCATTTGCAGCTGAAAAATCTATACGTTGAAATATGCAATTACATTTATAAATCAATGGCTGCTGGGCAGTAAAAATCAAAAATGACTGTCAAATGGCTACTTCTCAAAAGACATTACAAGAGTGCACATGCTCTCTCACTCAATTCTTAACCAAGTCCAACTGTAATTGCACAAATGTACAACTAAGGCAAGATGAATTTCTGCCAGCAGTGAGGGAATTGTAACTTGAAAATGAGAACATGTTAAATATCTTTATGCTAATGTTTGCCATTTTTTAGTGAGAAAAGCAATCAGCTCTAATCTAAAGAAAAACTGGATTTATGAAAATAGTCATCCTTTATGGGCTAGTTTGATTAAAACATGATCGCCACATTTGAAATTGATTGAATGTAGATTGACAAGCAGCAAGTTCTGAGCTACGCTGATGAACTTAATTAAGAAGCTTTGCATTAATATGGTTTGTTTTATCTGTGGCATGTGTAGGCTAAAGCATGTTGAGCATTTCTGTTATTTAATATTTCCCACTTCATTCCATTGGCACTTTAGCTACGCCTAAGCTGTGGTCTTATATGAATAAATACCTTGTTCAAATAAAGAAATTACATAATAAACAGCTGAGGGCAAAGAGTGAAATGTCGCATTCTTGCAGTTAGTTATTGCACTGAAAGGGCTGGCAGACTATGAAAGACAGGAAGATTTGGTGTATAAGAGGGCAACAAATGTGAAACAGGTGTTATCATGCATTGCACAGTGATAATGATTGATTACAGTGGTTTCCTTTAGATGATGCATTCCTGTGAGATGTTTTTTCTGTATTTTTCTATTTGTTGCTTTTGCATTTCCTTTTATGCATAGCATTTAGAGTTATGTGCCAGATATTGAGACAAGTCCTGTGACTGATTCTAATTTATTCTTGGATCCTGGTTTGGACATGTGGAACAAATTACTTCAGCTATCATTATGGTCTAAGTTAAGGGGATGTTGAACATTGAGGTTAATGTAGGTCCACACCTCCTAGAAGGCTTTATGCACGCTTTATATATCAGCATGCACAATCATAATAAGAATTTTGCAGGTGTCAGAAATGGATGGGGTAGGAAATGAGAGGAAAGTCTTCTTTATGCCTTAAGAAGGTACTCCACACTTGTTCAAAATATACATTTGCATGTTTTCCGTAAAGCATTAAGATTTAAGGAATAATTCACCCCAAAATAAAATTTCTGGCATTATTTACCTAAATTTGTGCCATTTCTAACCCATCCTATTATGACTTTCTCTTTAATAAAATTTTTTAAGAATATCCTGGTCATTTTTTTATAATGAAAATGAATGATGACTGGGTCTTCAAAGCTCCAAAACGACCAAATAAAACCGTATGACACTATGTGCCAAGTCCTCTGAAGTCATGCAATCTTTTTTTTTTTTATTCATCATAGGGCTTCAGAAAACTTTGTATATAGTAAGTCCTATGGACTGCTTTTATGATATTTTAGGATGCTTTGGCATGCTTTTTGAAGCTTGAGTGCCTTAGTCCCCATTCATACTAATGTGTTTTAGGGGTCGACCGAGATGTTTTTCAGGGCCGATACCGATTATTACAGATAGTAGACAGATTACCAATATTTTGAACCGATATGTATGTCTGGTGTAAAAATGACAATTAATGTCAAAATTAAGAATAACAAGGGCTGTGATAAAAAAAACTTTTTTTAAATGATTTTATCTGTTTTTTTTGTTTGTTTTTTTAATGACTGATATCGATAACAATAAAATGCTTAATATCGGCACAGATAATCGGCCAGACTGATAATCTGTCTATCCCTAATATGTTTTAATATTATTTTTACTCCCCATTCATGGTAATATGCAATAGTAATCATGCAATAGAGTGACCAGTAAAGATTTTTCCTTTTGTGTTCCATGCAGTGAAGTCACTCAGGTTTGGAAAGACACGAGAGTGAATAAATGGCAGAATTTTTATTTTTGGGTAAACTATTCCACTGAGATGTCAATAGATCGTGCAAGTTCATTTGGCACAATGGCCTTTTAATATTTAAGATATTTAGCAGAGAGATTATTTGGTGTGTTCAGCATACCCTGCTTCTCATTTTGTATCATTTACCTTTAATTTCCATCGTAAGTATCCTAAATGACCAGTACAAATGAGGTACAATAGGGGGTCATTAACTGGACTATAAATGCCATAAACTCTTGAGTGCAAACATTACGCTAATTATCTCTATAGTGGATTTTGATTGACTCTAATGAAAACAAGTATTGCGATCAGGTATCTACAATATGGTCTCCTGACAATATATACATCAATGCTGAGTACCAGTGTAAAACCTCTGGGCCCAGAGCGCACTTACCTAGTTTAGAGAGAAATCGGTGCTTAATGAAAATTAAGCGTACTTAGGAAAACCCAAGTACCTATTAACATTCAGTGTTGTTCTTGAAACCCTCAGGGGCTGGATCCTGGTCTTTAGCATTCAAAAGCACAACCCTCAACACCTTACATACATCTGTTTTCAGCTGCCTGAGCATCACGGCCGAATCGCTGTGATCCAGCTCGTTTTCAAGCCCCCTTTCTGTCGGCCGAACGTGCCCTATACTTTTTTACTTAGAGAAAGGGCTTTCTTCATTAACATGAGTGTTGCCTGGCAACAAGGCATTGCATTGCACTGCAAATCATTCATGGGTAATTGCTATTGTTGTGCGTGATGACAAACACTCACTAGGTAGTTGAGATGACTCCAAAGCCGTCACTTTGTGCATTTGTATGTGCATGTGCACAAATACGTGCGTATATAAACTGTTTTGTGAAAGTACTATAATAGCTGTCAGATTGCTGCTGGGCACAAACATTCATGCTGAGGTTCATGAGGTTCTGCCCTTAAACAAATGCATTATGGGAGAAACACAGTAGTGCATTATATATTCCTTGTTGAACATTGCGCATAATGTATTTCAGTGCTTGTGCTGCTCAAAAAGTTCAGGTGCAGTCTTTCTTTAGTCCACTGAAACATTGTAGGTGCATAAAACAGTTATGTTCTGATTTTTAAAAAATGTTCTGTAAAAGCTTTATGTGACATTGTCAATATGTGGTGGTTTGTGGCTTATAATGATAACACTAAAATTGCATTCTTTTTTTCCACTTTTATATAATGCATTTACATAGTGTGGCTTATAATGGTTGTAACATTAAAATTGGATGCATTGTTTTCTTATTTTTTAATTTATTTTTTTTATAATGCATTTGCATTATGTGGCTGATAACGATTGAAACATTAAAACTGCATAGATTGTTTTCCCATTTTTATTTTATTTATTTATTTATTTTACAATGCATTTACATAGTGTGGCAGATAATGATTGTAACACTGAAATTTAATGCGTTTTTTCCCCTTTTAACTTTATTTATACATTGTATGTACATGATATCTCTTGCATGGAATATAAATAAAAAATAAATTTCATATTTAGGAATTATTATACTAAAGAATTTTCATGTATAGTTTAAATTCTATGTGAATTATGAGCCTATATGAAATATTTTGCCTTGTCTAGGGCTGAAACGATTCCTCGAATACCTCGAGTAACTCGAATACAAAAAAAATCATCGAGGCAAATTATTTGCCTCGAAGCTTCGTTTAGTCGATTTACTGTAACTACACACGGAACACAGTGTTTCCCCACGGACCATTATTACTGACGTACAACCCGATAAACGCTGGACCAGACCATAGACTGTATAAAAACAGGGACCAGA